TGGAGCGATTCTATAGCTTGTAAGAGGTGGTTGTAATAGACTCACGCGGAAAATGATGGCTACTCAACTCAATGGGTGGAAAATGCGTCCTGCTTCGACTGCAACCACCCACTTCCACGAATAGGATCGCTCCATTTTATCTATGTCCATAGCTGTGTTCATCACTTTCAATAAATAGCCCGCTGACTTTCCTGGCTTCTCTCGTTTCAGAAAAATCCCCCGGCTTACGAGGAAACCCGAGGTACATCAACGTCGCGGCAAAATTATTACAATATCCCGACCACCGCGAAGGGAGAAGGGGGAATCGGGGGCATCCTGATCGAACAGCATGGTGATATGCGTGGAGCANGGGGGGGGGGGGGGGGGGGGCTCTTCCTCTTTCCTGGCGTCGACACATCCACCCGGATGTCGAGTGACTCCATTAGACCGCACTTTCGTCGGGCCCAAGATTCACACGCTTCGACCGCGTATTGTTTTAGCCGCGGAGTTGCCGCGTGCCCCCGCGGGCGATGCATTTTCCGAATAAAACGAGCACGATTTGGCAACGCGCCCACCGCGGTTTCTTATCGATACTTTTCCGCCGACCGATGCCGGTTATCGACCGAGGGGTTGCGGGTTGGTGGCCGGCCTTTGCCACCCGTGAGAGCGGTAACTTCAGAAATGAAGTGGTCAGGATATTAACCTTGTGCTCGTGATGTTCCCAGTGAAAAATCAGACGTATTGAACGAGCCCTTCGGTTTTTGTGAAAATTAATTGTTCGGTCACAAATTTTAAATAAATCAAAAGACGACAGGAACCTTCGGAATTTCACCAAAATTAAGCGATACTTATCATATTTAGCTTCACCGTATTGAGTAAAATTATAAATAACTAAACCTTGTTGGGCACGTATATATAAAAAATAACTAATTCACATTAATGATCCATGTATGAAATATACTGGAAAAAAGTCGCTTGGATCGAGAGTCTAGACTCTGAAAAACATTGACAAGAAAAAATACTCTTGATTCGAACGGACTTTTTTCTTAAGTCAAAAGGAGATCCGCCTAAATCAAGAGGCTCAGCTCTCCGATTCAAGGAAAAATCGGATTGAATCAGGAGTATTTTTCCTTGTCAATGTTTTAATAGTCTGGACTCTAGATCCAGCCGACTTCTTTTTCCAGTGTAAAGTAAGTTACCTACGGGAACAGGGCTCTTGAAAATTGGTCAGGGAATACAGCTCCACAAAACTCACCTTTAGGTGTAAAAGGCGAATATTGATTTGGGGAGTTGGAGGGCTTTTACCAGTAATGGCTTTAAACCATTGGTCAGAATGATAAACTACATACAGTTAATTAAAGTGCGGTTTGAGCATTTGTCGTAAAATCGGTACAGTGTTCCGCGTCGTTTATTCCGCAGAAAAAAGTCAAAACTGCATTGGCTGAATTCTCTTCGAGTGTTAGATTAATTAAAATACTTCGCCCGAAATTCCTAAAACGTTCCGTTTCTTTCCTTCTGATCTCTTTCCTTGATTTTTACTTTTTTAATGAGCGGTCGAACTGCCATTCTGCTTTTTCTTCGGAGGTGATGTAGCACTACCCAGTGCGATACGCATCAGTGTACACCTGTATAACTGGCTCGGATTCGGCTTAAAAAGTGTAATCTTGCACCCGTTAATGCGCGGAATGAAAGTTGCATCTTCGAGACAACTTTCTAACCGCGCATGGAGTCGACTTTGATAAGATTTAACTTCAACGCTTTGAAACAGGCTCTTACATTTGAGTGATATCAGAGCCAAGAAGAGACTATCACAACCTATGATGCGAGCCGAGGCATCCATCAGCGTGCTTTGCGATATATCGATTGAGCTGCTATTTAAACCTATGGAAAAGCATCGATAAAGAGGGTGTTCGCAACGAACACTTTAATAATCGATTCTTTACCGAGCTTAAAATGGAGAAACATTGATAATTGAACTTCATTTTCCAATTCGGAACTATAAATTCCGACCCATCTGTAAAAGCACTTATCTGGATAGAGAAACTAATTGTACATACGATGGTTTTAAAGTGAGGCACACTTTATAGTTCCTAATTGCAAAATGTAGTCCAATTATCGATAAACAAATGTCACACTGCTTTAAGTCGCACCTTGTCTGGTGGTCTATTAAAAATGTCATAGTCAGATTCGAAGGTAAATGAGAGGACTTAAAAACGGGCAAATTAGACTTTTACCGTTTAATGCGCAGATAAAAACGTAATATCTGACAACTGCTGCGCGAAAAAAGTGGTAAGCGTGAGCAGGCGTAAGGAAACCTGATTAAACACTTCCTGCTCGCTCAGACGTGGTGTATAAACCACAGCTCGACAATAATATACTGATTAAGATAATGTTTTATTATGGTGATTGCAACACGACGGCGTGCGAGAGAAATACACTAATTTTCTAACTTATCCAGAGGCGGTACATTTTCGGGACCCCGCAAGTTTCTCTGGATTCATCCCACTTTATTACAAGTTCGAGGTATTTTTCACCCTCCCTATTTATGTATTTATTCATTTAACATTTGCATGCATTAAAGGGGAAAAAAGTATAACGCATGGCAAAACCGGGTCAATAATTCCTTTAACGTAGATACATCTGATTGTAAGAGACAACAATGTGTGGATCCCCCCGGTTATTAAAATTTAAACTCTACTCGAAATTGAAACAAGCTCATAATGACGGCCCGGAGTTTATAAGCTTCCACAAAGGAGTATAATTACTTCACATATCTATTGAGGACCTATTAGTGCATCTCAGTGGCATTGATATTATTCGAATGAAATGAACGATGATTACAAAACAGAGTGCAAATACGGGCAACAGATTGAAGAGGACACGCTGGTGGAGAGCCGATAGGTGCTAAACGAGTGCTTCATTTCGAGTTCACTCGAGGGGGGTTTCGATGCATTCTCGGCATCGATTGAGGTTTGTGCGCGGTTGCCAATTCAACGGTGCGAAAATTGTGTACACCAGTTCCGATGGTGAGAACGCCTCTCTCGAAAAAATGATCTCGTTGCTCAGGAGCGAATTCAGCAATTTGGCAACACCGGATTTCTTCCATTTAAAACTATGTTAAATAATCGATTCTTGTCGGAACACCTGGCCCCTTCAAGAATCGATAAATTTCCGTAGGTTTAAATGGGGGGAAAGAATGATGCCGATTTGCTGGATCCGCCAATGTCGTTGCTTTCAGAGATCGTGCACCAACCTTTTGGGCTTGGGGATTCAGCATTTCCTAATGGAAAAATATTACGCGACGGCAGCAATTATTGCCCTTGGGTTGGCTGCTAACCTATCTACTAGATGGCTGATGAGCTTAGAGTGACATTTTGTGCCAAAAAAGTGTGCAAAACAAGTACACCAAATTTCACGGAATGTTCGACATGTAGGTTTTTTGAGTCCCGAAAATATACGCCTCCACCTCTGCCATTGCCAGGATGCTAATGGAGGGCTCTCGTCGTCTCTGGTTACTCCATTCCTGAAAGCTAGTTTTGTTAAATTTTGAGGATTCCATCGATAAAACAGAGGCGTATGAAAAATATCCATCCGTTCACTCCGGCGCAGGCTCAGATTCAGATTATTTGGTAAAAAATCTACTCGGAAAAATCAAGGCAAAGTTCTTCCGGAGATCAAGAATGGAAAATTGTAAGTTTCTCGAATAATGAATTAACCAACAGTCATTGTGTGCATATCTTGGGTTTTAATTTAAGCTGAGCTTAAGAACGTCGAATCACTTCCTCGTGCGGTAGGTACGCGCTGTTTCACAAATCGCTTTTCCGGGCCCAGAGAGTACAATTTGTTTTTCCTCGTCGGGTTTTGAATTTTAGGCGCACTAATATACGCTAGGAGAGTTCCCTGACTTCCCACGTTTTAAAGTCTAGCTAATTTTTGGGAGCAATGGCTCTTCCAAAGACAATGCGTCGACGGCAGAGGTCACAAGCGGTGACGTCGGCATTGACGTCAGAGACGGCGAAAAGCCCCCCCTCCTGTCAACGGCTCGGAAAATCAACAGAAAAAACGGAGAATTTAGCACGCTACCTTGCGAAATGTACCCGATTTTCCGGGCGAGACCCGCGCCCCTCGCATCGATATATCGACGAGATCTAAGCCAATGGCGTGGCGTGCTTTGCGATCTATCGATATTTCCCCGCATTTGAAGCAGTGGTAAATAATCGATTACTACGGTGTTCGCTGCGAGCACCCTATTTATCGATACTTTTCCATAGGTTTAAATGGCTGATCAATCGATATATCGCAAAGCACGCCACGCCACTGATCCAAACGAGGTGCTCCCAGCTCGCAACAATGACTTGCGTAAACGCAAATTAACACACACTCGTATTTACACCGAGAGAGTCAATATTCCTCCACCGCTACAAAGTAGGAGTCGAAAGCGTGCACAGCTGCAGGAGTGGGTTACTCCCGATTGTCATCGACGTTACATACTGACGTCAAAAAGATTAACAGCTACTGACGGCTTCCCTTTTCCTCGTTACGTAGGACAATAAACTGCTAGACAGAGTTTAAGCACTCCGGGACACGTGTTCTCACCTAAAGCCCATGCAGAACACGTTTTACCGACTAAAAATACTCAATATCAACACATGAGAAGGAAATGGCATTCATTTTTTCATCCGTTTCACGATCGTAAGAACCATGAGTTCGACGTTCTATACTGTCAAGCTAAGGAAAAACGCCGTATGAACATTCGAGAGTTGCCAGATTTCCATTGATAAAACATGTATGACGACATTCATGCACATTTTCCTTTGAAATTTTCAGGTGTTTTAGATAAAAGTGCGTATTTTGGAGGTATACTTCACTGACGTGTAACGCAGGATATCAATCAGAAATGTGTCAACTCGCTCAGTACTCATTGATTGATGTTAATTGATTATTATCTGTGATCACAGAAACGATTCGATCAATGTGACGAGCACCTGCGATCGAGTGAAGAGCGCAAAAGAGGTACATACCTTGTGCAAGTGTTCTAGAGCTAGGATGATTTCGCCAATGTAAATGCGAACTTCTTCTTCCGAAAAATGCTCTTTCTGGTAAAGGTGAGTAAAAAGCTCTCCACCGCTCACGTAATCTGGAAAAGAAGAGACAAAAATTAAAATCAAAACTCGGAGAAGAACTCTTTAACTTAAAACGGTTGCATAGATTCGGTAGAAATACAAAAATTTGGGATTCTTGTTCTACGGTCCTGGAAAAAAGTTGCATGATCATTCAATGGTCCCAATTTTCCCGAATGAAACCATTCACTCTGAAGAAAACGAATATTTTTCCATGACATTTTCGGACCTTAAAGAAGAAATTACGAGTAAAATTCTAAAAAAAACTGAAGTTGACTAATCCACGGAAATTTGGCATCGTCAAGCTGCTCCCACGTTATTAAAAAAGCTTCCCAAAATTGTTAAATTCCACTTGATAAGACACGAATTTTCTATGAGGCTCGTGATTAAATTTCAAGGAAACACATTCACATCTTTCTGAAAAAATTATTACTTTTATGAAGGAAACTGAGCAACGTATAAATACTCATACGCAGTTTTTCCATAGTTGGGCAGTGCAATACTGCCATGCTACGCAAGAACGCCGTATGAACATTCGAGAGTTGCCAAATTTCCCCCGATAAAATGTTCATTCTTGAGGAAAGATATGAATGTTATCCCTTGAAATTTTTAAGAACACTAGGTGAAATTGCGAACAAAATTACCCGAAAATGGGAAGAAAAATATGCATACGTTGATCAGGAAATTCGTGTTTTATCGAATGCAATTTAGGCAACGCCTGAGGGTTCATACGGCGTTTTTCCTGGGCACGGTGGAATAGGAGAGAATGTGTAACGAGCATCGAAACTCGGTGGACTCGGGTCGGAAGACGAGGAAATGGACGGGGTCGGCGGCGCGATGCATCGAAAGAATCAAAGGTCAATTATGCGCGCATTCAAGGCCATTACTCCGAGGTTTCGAGCGAGAACGATCAGTTTTCATTTACATTGGAAACCGAGAGAGAGAAACATCTGTGGAATAGTCATGTTTTCTGAGAACTTGTCCGCTCAGCTATTACACGCGCGCCTTCCTCAATCTCTAAATGCTAACATGCTCTCTTTCCATCCAATTATGAATCGAATTACTTCAGAGTTATTTCTTGAATCTGAACTGCCGGGGGAAGACAGGCGAAACGTATGACAGTAAGATTAATTGTATTTAAAGGCAGGGATTAAAAAATTGTTTAAAAGTTTAAAGTTCTTACGGTCTAGATCAAGGTGCTAAGGGCGAAAAACCAGTGTTTCGCGTTGGTACTCCCAGCCAATTAAATCAAGTGGTTTTTCGACTGCTGCCATAGGCTATTCCAAGGTNGGGGGGGGGGGGGGGGGGGGGGGCAAGCGCCCCTCCTGTTCCCCGAGGAAAAAGGAGGAAGAAAAGGAACGGAGTGGAAAAGGCAGAAGAACGCCGCGCCAGGGTTTGACCAAATGACAAAATCGACTAGAACTATTTCAAAAATTGTCTGGGAAAGGCCATCCGGACGCCCCATCCGTTCAAAGTATCTGGATCCTCATGTGACTGCCGAGTTGACATCCTAGTTGAATAAAATGAGCACCGCTTCCCTTTAATTTTAATCACCAAATACTAGATACGTGCTTCGATAGGATTCGAGTACTCATTGGATCGGTGCACTCAAGGCCAAGTTTACATCTACAATCTTATCTATAACTACGGCACGGGCATAATAGCCGAGCAGGGCGCAGGGCATTCGAGTAGTACGCGACACTCCTTGTCGAAGTCAAGTTTACATCTTCATGAAAAGGGTACCAACTTACTCAGGTTTATGTCTATAGCTGTGTCTAACGATTTCAATGATCAGCCGGCACAAAGGACAAACAGTTGGATGATCAGTGATATGTTTCGGTGATAAGTGGATGTGTCAAAAATTCCCTAGCTTTTCCAACGAATTCCCTGACTTTTCCCACAAATTTCCTGACTTTCCCCACGAATTCCCTGACTGTGTCCAAATTCCCAGACTATTCCCATAGATTCCCTGACTTATCCCACAAATTCCTCAACTCATCCCACTGATTCTCTGAATTCCAATAATCAGCCGGCAGAAAGGGCGAACAGTTAGATGATCAGCGATATGTTTCGGTATAATAAGTGGATGTATCAAAAATTCCCTAACTTTTCTCACGAATTCCCTGACTTTTCCCACGAATTCCCTTACTTTTCCATCAAATTTCCTGACTTTCCCCACGAATTCCCTGACTTTTCCGATTTTCCGGAAACCCTGGCAACGTTGTCATTTTAGTGCGTTGTACGCCGTGATCACCACGGGAAAAGGGCGGATTCGAGCGGAAAAATCACGAAAGCGCGGATGGGCTGTGGACGGCGAGGCGTGGTTTCGGTCCATCGACGGGATCTCCGAATATTTTGACATTGAAAAAGAGAAGTGGAACAAGGACTAGCCCGAATAGCGCGCTCGATTGACCTCTCCGCCAGATAATGTAACAGTCGACGCCGGCGCCCAAACTCGTTTCATCACAGCTGTGGCGTGGCGTGCTTTGCGAGATATCGATTGATCAGCCATTTGAACCTATGGAAAAAGATCGATAAACTGGGTGTCCGCAACGAACACCTCAATAATCGATTCCTTATCGCAGCTTCAAATAGTGAAAAATCGATAATCGATCACTCGCGCCTCGTCACTAATCACGGCTCCGATGACGGGAATCGAATCGGGAACCGGCTAGACTAATCGCGGATTAATTGGTTTCTTTCGCGATAAGTACGTCGTCGCCCGGAACGCCAACAGGTTCAAAGGTAAATTCGATTACCCCGAAGAGTACATTCCACTTCCCGAAATCTTAATGTTTCAGAAACCGTGGGTCTGTCACACATGGACTGCATTTAGTGAAAAGGAGGTATCACTTGTGGCTCATCTAAATCAACACTCATCTGAATGGGGAAATTTCAAGCGGAAAGGTGAGGGAAGAGAGGAAGCAGAGGGATGAATAAGAATAAGAGGAAAAAGAAGAGGTTGAAGATGGAAAAAGAAAAAAAGGGGAGAGGGAGAAAGATAAAATTATGAGGAGAAAAATAGGAGCTGAAGAAGAAAAGGGGGAAAAGAAGAGAAAGGAAAGAGAACGAGAGGAAGGAGAACGGAAAAAATAGAGAGAAGAGAGTAGTAGGAGTAGAATATATTTATTTCATAAACATAAGGAAAAGAGGAGGAGAAAAAGAGGGCAACGAAGAGGGAGAGGATGAAAAGGAAAATGAAGGAAACCAGAGATAAGAGGAGGAATAAGAAGGAAAAAATGTTCATGTAGTCTTTGGGACCGGTTTCTTGTGTTTCGTCCGTTTTCGTCAGCTGATAATTATATTTTTGCATAATTTCGTTCCATGAGTATGAAGGAATACATTTTAAAATTAAACGACATACGGTCAATACACGTGTCTCCTCGTTTTTCACGTCTGAATATGTAATTTTTTGCAATTTTTAGGCACAATTTGATTCTTGCGACGGTGCTGCATATTTAAAGTTAAAAAAAGAAGTGGTAAATGCCCAATCCCCCATGAACTGTGCTCTCTCTCAACAGGGCAGAATGAGAGTACTTTTTCGACCCCTCGACCGATTTCAAGCGACAAGAAACTGGCAACCGAGTAGAGAGAAATGGGGGGGCGGGGGTGGTTTTCGACGATGAAAATTAATAAGCGCAGATGACAGTTAGGTAAAACACAGAAGTTGGGAGGGAACGAGAGTCGGTCGGTCGGTAGAGGCAACACACAGGGGATTGAGTTAAAAGAAGAGGTCGGACAAAATTTGGAAACTTTAAACGCTTGTAACTTCGTTTATACAAACATCTGAGGTTCTAAAGGTGGTTCCTTTGGTTTCCTCGTGAAATTTTCACCAATGAGCATCCCTTGAAATTCAAAGTGTGACGAGATAAACGTTGAAATTTGCAGTTTTAGTCAAAAATATCAAGTCCGACCTGACTCGATCCACTGTGCGGCATTACCGAGGCCGGGATCCACGATTGCATGAAAAAATCCAGTTTCGTGCTGCTCTTTTTCGCGAACAGCGGCCGTGTTGCCGCGTCGCCGGAAAATCCCACGCCCGCCGCGAGGAAATCCACGGAGAAGAGAGGAATAAACCCAACGGTTCTACCTACGGATTCGTATATCCTTCACCGACCGGCAGAATTGAAAATTCGCGACGCAAAGCGGCGAGATTATCCGATACCCTTGAGCGGTTCGATTGATTTCGGTTCGACCCGCACTTTTGGAGCTTGGGATTCCCTGCCTAGGACAAAACGACGTGCGAGCATGTTCGAACAGTGCTAAAATTGCAGGTATTTTGGAGAGAAATTAAGAATAATTTTCCGTAACCGAATTATGAATAAAAATCTAGACCGAGAGAAACATTCACATGTTTCCCAGAAAAATTTCATTTTGATAAAGAAAATCTGGCTACGGCCAACGGTTCACATGGCAAGGCATTTTCGGCCCCTGTATAAAATAAAAATTTCAAGGTAAACTTATAAACATTTTCCCTTCCATTTTTCACATAATTAACTTCGAAATTTCCTCTAACGCTCCTGAAAATTTCAACGACAAAGGTTCATTGATTTCCTTATAAATAAACATTACTTTTATCGGAGGAAATTTGGCAACTCTCAAATGTGCATGAGGCTTTTTATCTTAGCAAGGCAGTATTCCTGCGTGACTCTGGGAAAAATGCGTTATCCAATTTGCCAACTCCATCTCTCGCTTTGGGACTTCGGAACATGGATAGTTGTGCACTCCTGACAGAGGCTTTGAGTGGTGGCTTTAAGTGGTGAAACGAAACTACTTCATGTTAAATGTGACACTTGATCGCGCGGGGGGCGAGGAACTGAAAAAGTTAAAAAGACAACAAAAAATGAAGGAAAAACCAGACGTAAGCGTTGTTGCTTTATGGAGTCTACCAGAGTCGTTTTCCCCGTTAATTACACGACTACAACCGCCGACCAGCCCGACTATAATTATCGCGGATTTATCGATTCCAGGAACCACCGTTGTTACACGACAAAAAAGATGAAGCTTTTAACCTTGA